CCTATTTAAAATCGAAATACTTAACCTTCATTCACAAATTCAACAAGTTACAACTTGAATTAACAAAAAAAAGTATATAAATACCTTTACAACGACAAAATAAGAAATATGGAGACAACAAGAAAATTGAGTATGATGTATCACATTTTTTGTTAAAATACTAAAGAATATGGTCTGATATATCATTAAATAATTAAAATTTAGTTATAAAGTTAATTATGAAAAGTTACTCAATGTATGGACGTAATGTAAGGATAAGGGGTTATATTTAAAGTCAATTAACGTTTTTAGTTTTTTGTACTTAAAAATGTATTAATGTATAAATAAAAAAAATAAAAATTATACAAAATCATTTATTGTAAATAACATTTTATAGCTATAAATATATTTATTTTTATAAATTCACTCGTATTATAAATAAGGAGTTCGAATCACAACTTTCATGAACTATTTAGCCCACTTTGGGCCAAATTTAAGCTCTTTTGTTGGGCCTCTATGTGGCAGCTCAATAACTGGGGCTCCATGAGGTCCTCACATTTCCTTTTTTTTTTCTTCAGTTTGAATTTGAAGGGTAAAAATTATAAATGTAGAAGAAAAAATTATTGAAATACACGTTTTATGTTTTTCTTATTTCTAATATCTTCTACTATTTTTAAAACCCCTCATTTCTCTAATAGATTTGAGCTACATATTATTGTATTTGAGCCAGTATTTAATATATCTGAGCAACATATTATGTATCCGATTTATTTTATAATCTATCCACTAGTTTTTAATGTATCTGAGTTATATATAATGTAAGAGCTACATGCATTATATCTAATTTATGTTATAATATATCCGAGCTACATATTAATGTATCTGATTTATTTTATAATCTATCCGAACTAGTTTTTAATGTATCTGAGTTACATATTATGAATCACAGCTACATAAATTATATCTAGTTTATGTTATAATGTATCTAAGCGGCATATTAATGTATCCGATTTGTGTTACTTTTTAAGGGATTAATATAATTACAAATTAAAAAGGGATAAATTGTAATTTCATATTAAAACTATGTAATTCCTAAAATTCATCTAATATATAATAAGGTAATTTTATTTACATTAAATATAACCAATCTTTTATTTATGTAGACAAATAGCCCAAATTAGCGGTATATCTACGTGCAACAAAAATTATTTTCAATCAAATAGTCATGCATATGCGATGTATCAATATGTATATATATAATATTGTGTAGATATTATATATAAACCGTATACTCTTGTGTAGATGAAGCAATGTATAATTACATATCAGAGATGTATAAACATATACATATACATTGTCAAATACAATAAAGGATACATTACATATCGATTTTTATTCATAAACTCAAATCTCCTCTAAACAATCGTAAAATTCATATATGAGCTCCTCTCAATATTTTAATCTTTTTTAATACATTATTCACCCCACACAATTATTTCTCTTTTTACGATAAGTCGATTTTTAAAGTCGAGCTTAAAACATAGAAAAAGAATAAGGAGAAAAAAGGAGGAGGTAGAGAATTAGAAGATTATACTTTATTACTTGCAATACAAAAGTGTCAAATGATCATTACTGATAACTGTATCAAATATATATCTAGTGTGATTCATGGATATATACGAATTTCATTTGCTTTTCTTTCTAATCTTACTCGCCTCTCTTCCTTTAGGTATCTGGCAGTAAAATTACATATATCTAAATATATTTTTTAATGTATGATAAAATACGTAGTATTTTAATCGATGCAAATTCAACCATTTAGAAGTCAAATTAATTTAGCTTCCTTTAAACTCTTTCACATTGCTTCCTTTGTGCATAATCGATGCAAGATTCGAAAAAGGATTGCATTTTAAAAAACATTATATAAATAATTTATTCGAATACAATCTGACTTAAATTGCGCTAAGACTCTTCTTATTCACGCAAAGATATTTTATTATGATTAATTGAATCACCCTATTTTTTTTCTAATAAGAAGAATAAAGTTGACTCTTATTAATATTATTTTTATAAAAATAATAAACCAATCAACTGCAAAATGGTGTCTATTTCTAATATAATATAAATAAAAAATTCAGTAAAACACGTCTTAAATACAAATGACTTTGTGTAACGTGTCTTATAAACCTTCTTTTTCTCTAAATCTTTTTTAATCATTTTATTTGTTAGTAAAAAGTCAACGGTTATAACCTCATATATTGCCCTAACAAAATTTACATCTTTATTTCCCTTTATAGTGAAAGAGGACAAGATGTCTATTCATCGTGTTTTAATTTATGTGGCATATATTTTTTAGTTCAATTTAAAAAAATTCTTTTCTGTATTTAGGAAATAGTAGTTGCAATTGACGGTGGCATAGCCACATGGTGGTCAAGATATTCAATTTGTCAAAAAAAAAATTTATATATTCAAGTAAAGTGATATACGAAATGATCAAATAACATATTTTGGACACCCTTAACATAACAAGCTATTATAGTCCAATGATTTCTCCTCCTTGGAATGAAAAAGTGCTCGTGCGTTTCAATTTATTGTGCTATTTCTGGACATCCTCTGTGATACTTCTGGCTTCGCCGCTGACAGATGAACCTGTAAAAGTTGAAAAATATAGATGAAATCAAAAATATATGTAATTGAGAAGTGTATAGCAAGGAAGTGAAAACAAGATGGTAAAACATTAGAGTTTTGAATATACATTATGTAAGATCCATTAAATGGGGAAGGCAATTCTTATGGAATTTTTTTCATGTGAAAGTTAAATTTGAAACTTTTAATTAAATAGTTTATTTATGCAGATACCCTTTAATATTATTTATTTTGATTTTGTCATTTATTCTTATTTCAATCTTATATATATAAAACATTAATTTGTTATCTATCGTTTCATAACTTTCAAAATGTTAGATCATGATCTAATATTTTTAAAAAAATATTTTAACTGATTACTCAAAAAACTTCTTTAGATCGTAATAAAATCAATAAGTCATAAAAAAAAGAAGATGATTATCTACTAAATAGCTGTTCTAAAAAAAGGACTAAAATAATTGATAAAATTTATCGTGATTAACAGTCGAATCCTTATTTATTTCATCACAAACCTCGATAGTCGGAACCCAGAACCATTGTTAGTGTTGCCTTTGAAATGTCTTCCCTCTTTTGTTTAATGCGTTGTGGCAGCTTCTTGTCATCATTATTGTTTTAATTAACTTTAATCAATTATATCTCTTCAAATTATTAATGATTTATTACATAGATAAGCAAATATATGTATTCAACTTAAATTGAAGAAATATAATTGGGCTCTTGGAATCCAAATATTAATTAAGGAGAATTATGGTTGGTAATTAGTGATGATATTAAGCTAGACAAGTCTTTCTAATGCACTTCCCCAACTGGTTGATATGGTAATTTTCAACAAAGAAATTGTACTACTATACTTGGGGGGGGGGGGGGGATTAAAAATAGACAATAGTATAAATTTCAATATAATATCGGAAAACTGTAGTAATTTAGTTGGTTGATTATCTGAAATTTTATTTTATTGGTAAAGGTTCGATTCTTAAGCTTATAATCTTCTTCACCAGTTTCCCTTCCCCTCCCTTGTTATTACTGTGGTGTCTGGATTATCTTTCGTACGTCTTGACTAATTTCATGAGATATACATGTTATCTTCCACCAACAATAAATATCAAGAGTTAATAACTGTGATGGTCACTCAACTATCAATTGTTTTCACAAAAAGTCACTCAACTTTCATTTTCAACTCAAAAGTCACTCAACTAATATTTCTTTGTACAGAAAGTCACTTAACTTTCATTTTCATCTCAAAAGTCACTCAATTATAACTTCTTCCCACAGAAAGTCACTCAACTTTCATTTTCAACTCAAAAGTCACTTAACTATAACTTCTTCGCACAGAAAGTCACTCAACCTATTTAATTATTTTTTTCATTAAAATTTAGTGACATGAATTTTAATTATTCACATAAATTCTAAGAATCAAATATATATCCATTTAAATCATTTAGTGATCTGCCCATTTAATTCAACCCGCTAAAAATATAATATTAAACATTTTATTTTACCATTAATTCTCTAAATCATTCCCTATTGAACATTTAACATTTCATTTACCATTAATTCCCTAAAAGAATGTGGGAGACAAGGGAGAATGATTTAGGGAATTAATAGTAAAATAAAATGTTCAATATTATATTTTTAACGGGTCGAGTTAAATAGAGTGGGTCATTAAATGGGTATATATTTGATTCTTAAAATTTTGATTAATAACTAAAATTTTATGTAAGTAAATTTTAATGAAAAACAATTAAATAGGTTGAGTGACTTTCTGTGCAAATAATTCATAGTTGAGTGACTTTTGAGTTGAAAATGAAAGTTGAGTGACTTTTTGTGCAAAGAAGTTATAATTGAGTGATTTTTGAGTTGAAAATAAAAATTAAATGACTTTCTGTGAAAACAATTGATAGCTGAGTGATCATCTAAGTTATTAACTCTAAATATCAAGTAACTCCAAATGAAATAACTTTATACTATTCAAAATAATTTAAATATACACTACGTTTTATGAGTACGCTCATTTAATTAAATAGAGGGACACTATGCATCACTAGTACCCCTATAATGCGACTTACTGTTGATCCAATTATCTGGTAATTTCTTTTTCTTGGTTAGTTACACTAGGACAAAGATAATTAAATAATTTGAAGTTTCATGAGTGAAAGGTACAAAAATCTAATTTTGAGAATTTGAATGAAAATCAAATTTTCAAATTTGATTAAATTTTATAATTAAATAAGCAATTAAGAAAATTTACTCTTATAGTCAAATAAATATTTATTGATAAACTTGTAAAATTTACTCTCACTATACATGAAAGTTAGTTTAGAATAGAGAATATTAAGTGATAGTTGACTAAGATATATATATATATATATGTATCATTTGTATTGCCAAAAGAAATCAACTCTCCAACAAGAATTAATGGCAAATCTAGAGGGAGGAGGAATCAACAACAACTTAGATGATGAAGAGAAATTGTTGAATGAGTTATCTAGTGGCATCCACCACAACCACCATCAACAAATAATTTCTTTACGTAACGTTGTGAAGTTTTTTCTCTTGTTTATCGCGATCACCCTTTCATCTCTCCTTCTTTATCACTCTTCTTCTAATAACTACTCTCTCCAATTCTTTCCTATTCACTCATATAAACATGCTCCTTCATTTGCTTTTGACTCGAACTATGTAAACACAAATGGCTCGGCAGCAGAAAATTCGCGTCATGGCTACAATAGTAGTACCGCAAATGTTTCAAAAGTAAGTTTTCCTCTCTTCACGATCTTTTCAAATTATCTGCATCTTTCTCTTTGATATTAGAACTTGAACTTGTTTTTATTAAAAGATTTTATTATTGTATGTATCTGTTAGACATGAATTGCTGACACGTGCAAAATAATGTTTATGAGTTGAATGAATTAAGAACAAACCTCGAACATGACAAAACCTCTTTTGAAATTTTTTTAAAAAAGATAATAACTAAAACTTCTTGAAAAGATTATAAAATAAATGATTATTTCTTTGTCAAACAAATGCATTTACTTAGATAAATTGATGAACGTATGTGCTAATTAAATCCCAATTAATTACAACCAAATCTGAATTAACTTTCATTATCATACTTAATTTCTTTATATTATTTACTGATTAATCCATTATCTACAGACTACACTATATATTGTTGATAACGTCCTCTATTTTTACAAAATTTATCTTCATGAATCTATATATTTGATTCTGAAAAATTGAGTGATAAAAATGAGACTTTTAAGGTCATTATATTTTTTCAAAAAAGTGTAAATGTCACATCTATTAAATCAACCAATGAGAAGAAGTGAAAAGAAAAAAAAGTTTGCTAATAAGAATTGAATATTCTTCACGCATTTCCAAAGAAGAATAATATACGTATGAAAATAAGCAGACTTTTCAACGTACCAAGTTTTAAATTATCTGTTTTTATTTTCTTTTTTATATATTTCTTAAGAAATTTTAATTTTAATTATTTTATTTTTAGTTGTATTTTGATATATAATCCTTTTGGTGAATATTTACTCTACTATGAGATTATGAGATATTTGTAGCTTCTAGGACTATTGATATTGACGGTACAAAAAAAAAGAAAATTAATTTTGTGTGGACTTTAAAATGACAAATAATGTGAGATATTTTAATTTTAAAAATTACCACACATAATTTGAGACACGAGTACTATTATTATATCCCTATATGGCTATATCAAATGAATTAATCATGCGTAGGAATTGTCAATAAATAATTATGAGGAAAAGAAATTGTAGGTCTAGTAGACTTTCAAAAATTATATTGAAAGATCTATTTTAATAACAAGAACAACAGTAATAACAATAATAATAACCATAATAATAATAATAATAATAAGCTTGCTTTACTACTTTATTGATAGAATAATCTTCTCAAATCAATCAATTAATTCTTAAAGAACAAGCTCAAATCAACCAATTTTTCTCTTCAATAAGTCATTAAAATTATATATATATTATAATCCTACACGCATTCCCTATTTAAGAAGAATAATCTACGTAAAAAATAACAGACTTTTTAATGTATGGACCAACTTGTCAATATTCAGATCAAGTAAAAAATAAAAAATATATAGTTGAACTTCAACATTTATATCAATACAAAATTGTGATGTAGTAAATGACGGACCTAGAATTTTCGTTTAGAAATGGACCTTTGAATTCTTTTGGGGGTTGAAACAACACTTTTAGCATGTTTTTTTTTAAATTAAAAAGAACTTGAACTAAAAAAAAAAACTGAAACTAAAAAATAAAAAAATAAAATGGCATCATGGGGAATTGAATTGCTAACGTGAAACCCAATTTCAAAGAGACTTACCACTGCACCATCAATTTTTCTTTGGTATTACGAGAGTTCAATATATATATATCGTGTAGTTTTTTTACCGAGGAAGTTCGGGTGAACCCCTGGACCTAATGTGGGTTCGCCCTTGGGTGCAGTAGTGGAACTGTTTCACCCTTAATCAGAGGTCTCAGGTTTAAACCTAAGGCACGTAGAAAATCATGTTGTGAGTGTCACCCCGAATGAGCCCTGTAATACTCGAACTAAATTTTATCAAGACTCCAATATGAATTTCGAATTCAGATGGAAAAAAAAAAGAATTTCAAACATTTATAGTGGAAGATTTATTTTTTAAAATAATATATGACTATACTTCCTATTTTCTTTGACGAAATTTCTCTCTAACTATTTTTTATTAATACTTAATAATAACTAGAATACATTTTACACCCTAATTTTTAATTTGAGAGAAATATCGTCTCTTTCTTTATTAGTGGAATAAAATTAAACTAACTATGCTATTGTTGTACATAATTATTAATTCTGGGGATAAAATTACCGCCCTAAGCTATACGGCCATGTAGTTTATGTACGAAAGTATATTAGATAGCGAATATTTTATCGTAAATCTTATGAAAAATACTTTATCATAAAATTTGTAGAAAATTTCTTCAAAGTTTAAGGTATATTGAATATATTGATTTTAAGAATATTTCACCCAATATATTAATATATCCCTCGAGATTTAATAAATTCGTTTAGTATAAAACTACGAGCACAGATGATAACAAAGATTAACAAAAAGAAAACTAAAAACAAGATAATATAGAATGAAGGATTATACTTCATCTTCTATGTCTAGTATATAAGCAATAAAAATTAATAAAAGGATTATTTTAAGTATGTTAAGTTAAATATCTTTTATGTATTTTTAAAGTATTCGAATAAAATTTTAAAAAAAGTTTATAACTAGTACTTTTTTAAAGCTAAAATCTCTAAAGTTATGATTTTTAACTTGTGAAAAAAAATAATAAAATCATCCAAATCAACTCTTTTAACCTTCTAATAGCAAAAAAATGTCCCAACTCCCAATTAATATGGAAAAATACTTTGTTGGGAAATTCCTAAATGAAGAATTAAATTGACAATGAAGAAGTTATTAAAGATTATTTATCTAAAAGAGGGCTAAATTATTAAGGCTAATTAAATGTAGTCAAATGAATTGAATGCAAGAATTGCAAATTCTCTATCAAACTCCATCCACAAATGATAAATTAAATAGATTTTTTTTATATATATAAATAGTATTTTTCTAACATATATTATATATTCATCAGTGTATATATGTATATTTTATCTATATTGATAATTTAATTGATCGAACGATACAAATCGATACCGTGCATTATTAATCCATACTTAATGAATCACCAAAATTAATTTTTACGTATTTATTATTGGGAAACTTTCATATATATGTCAAATAAATTCATATTTATATGTATATAGCAAAATTTGCATAACTGCACTTCATAGAAACATATAAATATATAATTCGCTATACATATACAATTGAAGCGAAATAAAATGAAGTGTATAAAACGAGAAAGAGAAAGTGATTTGGCCAGAAAATTGTATAAAAACGAAGTGTATAAAACGAATTGTATAATTATAAGTGTATAGAACGATTATATACAGTTGAATTTGTATAAAATGAGAAAGAGAGGAAGGCAAAAGAAACTTGGGCAAAGAATATACAATTGAATCGAATTGTATAAAACGAGAAAGAGAGAAATTATATACAATTTGAATTTGTATAAAATGAAAAAGAGAGAAAGACAAAATAAACTGAGTAGGGGAGTATTTTTATTGTATAATTATAAGTGTATAGGACGAAATATATGTATTTGCATGCGTGTATATACAATTTTCTTTCGCTTTATACAAACAGAAACACAACTTATACATTTCGCCTTTATCTGTATAGGTGAGAGAGGCGAGGGTGGAGAGCGATATTAGAGAGAGTGGAGAGCGAGATCTGGGAGAGGGGAGAGAGGAGAACAAAAACATATGTATTTATACAGTTTCCTCTACTTTATACAAATAGAAACGGATTTTATACACTTATATTTATATAAAAGTGAGAGGAAGCGAACGAGAAATGAAGCGAGAGAGGAGAGTAGAAAGCGAGAGTTTGAGAGAGAAAAGTGATTGACAAACAGTTTATCACGGAACACAATTAAATCAAAGAATGATTATAACAATTATTTTAATTTATTAGTTTTTCATTAATTTTCCCTTAATTAAACATGAGATACGTCAATCTCACAAATGTGACTGCCCCAATTATTTACTTTTTTTAATGGTCCTGGATTTTTCAAGTGGACCACAACTACAAAAATGTCTATTTTTCACTCAGAAAAGTAGAAGAAGAATTTTCCAAAATTGACTAATTGCAAATATTTAGGCCATTATATATTCAATTATTATAATGTCTTCTTCAAATACAAGTTGAAATCTTTTGTCATATTGCCAACTGCTAATTACCAAAATAAATTTTCCAAAAATTAAAGGACCAACTATATTTGACAAGACATTATTGTAGACTGAAACTAAAATGGACATCCACATTGGGTTGATGGATCAAATCTCTTTATTTTAGCCGACGTTTCGTTATAGATTTTGAAATTGACGCTCCATACAAATTGTTTAATTTGATATTATTTTCTTAGCTCGTACATTTTGAAAATTTGAGTTTTTAAGTTATGTTTGAATATTCTTTCTACTTGAAAAATATTTAAATTTTTGTAAGTGAAGTGAACTTTTTCCCAAAATATGAAAATATTTGAAGGTCAATAGATATTTCAAGATAGATTTTCAAATTTTGATTTTTTCAAACACTAAATTAAATTAAAATTTTTTGATTTGAGCTCTGTATATGAAAAAAAAATCATGATAGAGAGCTATTTCGGGTCATTTGCACTTTTGTCACTATTTGGTGTTGGTTTTTAATTTTTTTTTTCTCCCTCAAGGTAAATAACTTTATTGTAGGGTACATGTTTGTATTTTTTAATTTTGCATCTTAATATTCCACAAGTTATGTGACGCGTATAGTTAGGTCACTTTGGCCAAACATAGTAATTATAAATATACAAAATATAACAGTCATTATGTATATTATATGTATAGGTATGCATATTCTAGGTACATTATGTATATATATAGTACATGCATACTTATACTTAAATTTACACAAGCTATAAATTCGAAAAATATTTTTAAAACTATACCATTCAAAATATCCCAAATATTTATTATAACGGACCTTGTAGCTATCTAACAACAACAACATACTCAATAAATCCCACGATATGGACGACCTTACTTCTCCTCATAGGTGGAGAGAATGTTCTCGAACTTTGTAAATCATTAAAAAGTTTGTGTATATTTTTTCAGTATAAGGAGCAAAAAAGCAAGTTAGAGGAAGTGTTGGAAAAAGCAGCAATGGGAGACAAAACAGTGATAATAACAACATTAAATGCAGCATGGACAGAACCAAACTCAATATTTGATGTATTTTTGAAAAGTTTTAGGGTTGGGAACCAAACAACATCACTGTTGAAACATGTTTTAGTTGCATGTTTGGACCAAACAGCATATTCAAGATGTTTGGAGAAAAAACAAGTTCATTGCTATGCACTCACTACAAAAGATGTTGATTTCTCTGGTGAAGCACATTTTATGAGTGATGATTATTTGAAGATGATGTGGAGAAGGATTGATTTTCTAAGACATGTTCTTGAGATGGGATACAACTTCATTTTCACAGTATGTATACTCTTCCCTTCCACTTTATCATTAAACATTAGTAGTACATGGGTGAATTTCAATTAGACACGAATTACGAATTGTTTTAATTGAGCAGCTGAATAGTATTTCTATAAAGACTATATTTCGATTCAAATTTTGAAAAAACAATACTCAAAATGTGTTATCTCCTTCAATTATACGCATCTGCTTCAATAAGAACAAATTTGAAGCTTTACGACTTATTGAGGTTGATGCATATAATTAAAGGAGGTGACATATTTTAAGTGTCACGTAATAGACACTTGAGAACACACGAAAAAGCTTGAGGGCCTAATAGGATTACGTCATCATATGCTCTGGTGTTCAATTAAAATAAATCGTAATTTGAGTGTCTAAATGAAATTTACTAACGAATTTAAATCTATTTATTAAATCTTAATAGTTTTACTTCTATGTATAGTTGTATACCAACCATGAAAGAAAATCATTAGATTAAATCATATCACTAAGAAAAAACATACTAATAATTCCTATACATTAATTGGTGAACTAGCTAACAAAAAAAAATTAATTCAAATTGACTTCAAGAACATGTCATCCCTTATGCTTTTCAATTGTTTTATGTTTGGTTGGTCAAAATATTTTCTCTAGAAAAACAAGTTTCTTAATGAATGAAAGAAAATGACTTTACTAGCAAAAACAGGAAATACAAGTTTCACATTGATTTTATTTCTACTTAGGGAACTATGTGTGTGTATTACTTTATATAATATAAAAGTTTTTTTGTGTGTGTGTTTGGATTTAGGATGCTGATATATTATGGTTTCGACAACCATTTGCACATTTTTACCCGGATGCTGATTTCCAAATTGCTTGTGACCATTACTGGTTTGATTCAACAAACTTAGACAATTCACCAAATGGAGGTTTCAATTATGTCAAATCAAATGAACGTACCATTCAATTTTACAAATTTTGGTACAAAGCAAGAGAGGCTTATCCAGGAAAACATGATCAAGATGTGCTCAACATGATCAAACACAACCCATTCATCAAAGATATTGGATTGAAAATTAGGTTCTTGGATACAGCTTTTTTTGGAGGATTTTGTGAGCCAAGCAAAGATCTTAATCTTGTTTGCACAATGCATGCAAATTGTTGTATTGGAATTGGTAATAAAATGCATGACTTAACTATGGCACTTGATGATTGGGAAAAGTATGTCACTTTGAATGGGGATGAAAAGATGTTAAGGCCACAAACTTGGACTGTACCAAGAATATGTGGTTAAATATAATTCAGTATTTAAAAATATTACTATTATCTTCCTTTCTCTGTTTGTTCTATTAATTTGTGGTTCATGCAAGTGTAAAAAAAAAATCCTTTGGTTTTTTTCCTTCTCTTTTTTGTTCCCTTTTGTAGTATGTAACTTGTCTTATGTTCAAAGATTGCAAATTCCAACTATTTTTTTTTCAAGGTATCTTCTGGATTTTGAGTGTTGTGTTGGTTTACATACAATGTTTCTATTGATTGATACTTCAATTTTATCGTATCATTAAATTTATCACAAGGCAATAACAAGAGGCCTATTTTGTGTAATGATCAATTTAATGTGTAATCGTGTCATCGCCTTATTTTATCCTTTACAACCTCATATATCTTCATCACTGTCATATTGTTGACAGTTTTAATACAGTTGAAACAGCAAAAATGTTGGAAAAAAGAGCTACTACTTCAAAATGTGATTTATCAAAAGATTAGAAAGAAAAAAAAAAGGCCATAATGAAACCAATATTCATTTTCGAATAATGAAAAGCTGAATGTATTTACATCATCCAAGATTTACAAATGTCAGCTTTCCTAAGAGGGGCATCATCTGTGCCATCCCACAACTGTGCTCCGCTATAAACTATTTCTATGTCAATGGAGTCCAAAAATGTAATTCACTGTCTAGAATTATCACGAAAAATTAAAACGAAAACAATATAAATAGGAAAAAGAGAACTACCTCTAATCGTCAAAATTGTGGGCAGACTCAAAGAATGTACACTTTGTACATGGAACGCACAGCTGCATCATCTCATCACTCTACCTTGTTCAGCATACTCTCCAATGCAATGGCGCGAAGAAGCTTACATAATTATCCATTAAGCTTAGCTAAGAACTGACCCAGGTTATACTCCTCTGTGTATTGTGACTGATCCCAAAGCTCCTCCAATCCTCCGAGAATGGCTTTCAATCCCTTTCCACTACGTGGCAAGATTGAGTCCACGTCAGATTTTTCATCAGTTCTTTTGGATCTACTGGCTCCCTGAGAATATTCGGCATTTGTCAGTTAAATAGCATGCATACATATCAAATTCTAAAGGAATAGAGAGATTATAGATTCAAAGCTGAGTGTTAAATCACCTTTTTGCTTTCAGCCGAAGTAAATAGATCAAGTAACTGGTCTGTATTCATCGTTTTCAAACTTGCATTCTCTGAATTGATCACTGCATTGGCAACAGACACTTTGAACCTTTGGAGACTCATTACTTTTTCTTCCAAGGTTCCTCGCATAATGAGACGATGCACATTCACAACTTTTCGCTGGCCCAACCTGTGAGCTCGATCCATAGCCTACAAAACGATATAAATAAGTTATCCTGCTTTTCCATATCATCTTGAGCAATCAGACATGAGAAGGTTCAACAAGAATGAATGCCTGACTAGATCAACACAGCACAACATCAACAACTTGCAATATATTAACTCCACATCTAACAACCCAACATAGATATGTATTATCTGCAAGAAGTAAATCAATACCCAAGATAACCATAAATTTGGCAAATACATCCGTTTTGTCTTAAAATTTAGGATTGATAAGTACCAAATCCTCAAAAATAACACCAAAAACTAATCAGCGTCATTAAGACTAATTTACAGTAACAATGAACAGGGTAATTGTTTTTGCATTCGTTGGAAACTGAACCTGAGACCTCATGGGTCTCCACACCCCTTGGGTTCTTTCTAGATTATCACTTATTCTATTAATAATCTTGTTTCCATAAGTCATTCTTCAGGCATGGGATAAGTAGGGACATGGGTGGATAGCAAATAACAAATAACCTCCATACTTTATTATCGCAGACTTGGTCTTGCCATCTAGGAAGCAGAACACCTAAAATAAATAAGAACTTGAACAAGCTCTCTCCCTCCTTAAAATAATCCAGGGATATTGATACCAAATAACAGTAAAACAAAGTCAAGCAAGAGGTAAGAAACACATAACCTCGACATAAGATTCAAAGTTAGTTGTAGTGAGATAGAGAGACTTTCTCATACCTACCATGCAAAATTTCCCCCCATTCTCCAAACCACAAAAGGAAACCAAAACCCAGTGGCAGTAAGTACTTTTTGTATTTACTGGGCTAAAAATGAGCCAAAGAATTATGTGGCTCATGGTTCTGGACAATATTCAGGGGCAAAAACTGCAAAGAAAAGGTTAAATCTCTATACCTGGTGATCTCGCATTGGATTCCAGTCATGCTCCATGAACACAAGGGTATCAGCTGATGTCAGGTTCAAACCAAGCCCACCAACTGCAAGCAATTTTCGTACGTGAGCGCAAGTCTTCAACTGTATTGAAACCATGCCAAAATGTAGAATCATACCATGTGTAGTAAGCAATAAAACATCTATAGTAGGATCCGAATTGAAGGCTTTAACAATGTCAAAGCGCTTTTCTGGTTCAACTGATCCATCCAGCCTCAAGTAAGTAACACTGCTCAAAAAAGGAAGAAAATCTCTTTAGTTACTGAGTTTCAAAGCACAAGGAACGGACTCAAATACTTCAAGGCAGTGTTCGATCAAAGTAGGTTCATCACTGATCCTCTACCTGTTTTTTCCAGTTTCAAGACCTTCACATGTGCAATAGTAAAACTATTAATTGTGAAAGTCAATATATGGCATACAAAGTCCAATTTATATCCAGAGACAATCTTGGATACCAAAAATGACTGGACGCTAACAAAAGAATTTCCAGGAGCAACAGATCATAGAAATTGCTTGCATGAAGGTCAGAACTTTCCAGGTTTAATAAAGTAACATGGTAGAAACTGTATGATATTTGACTGAAGGAGTCGCTCATTTTGATGAACAGTCATGACTTGGAACCAGCTAGAGTCAAAAACATAATAAAACTTCATTTAAACAAGAAAGGCTAAAATCATAAGCGGACCTCTAAACTTGTCTGCATCTTTTAATTAGGCACCTCAACAGACGTTTTTTCCTCTTAGACACTCTAACCAGTTAAACACATATATACATATTAAACAGAAAATGACTACTGGTACAAATAACACAGTACGTTCAACTCACTATCGAGAAGTGTGGCAAAGGGAAATAAAAATGATGACACGTTGCATAAAGGCCTAAAAAAGTTGTCAGAATTAATTTTGAGAAAAACAATTTAACAAATTGAAAAAATATTTCAACAAAAAAAAATGAAACCCTATCCACCCAACTTTACCCTTCCTCCCCATCATAATCGCCCCTCCCTTCTTCCCTATCAGTGTCGCCCCTCCCATTGACATCCCCCAAGCCACCTGAATTTTTCCCCAGGTCTTCCCCTCCCCTTCTTATTCCTCCCCAAGAATCTCGTTCTTCTTCATCCACCATCTAAACCAGTAACCAGGCCACCATTGAAATGTTAGCATACATCCTCTGGAGTTCTTGTTGATAAAAATTCATCGATGGAGGCTGCGAATGCAAACTTAATGAAAAATAGAAGTGATCCGATGAATTTTCATGGAGAAGAAGTTACAAATGGAGGTGAACGGTCACTAAAAAATGGTGGTCTATGGTAGACTGGAAAGAAGAAGAAAGAAGGGAACTATTTTTAAGAAAATATAAATGAGAAAGAAGAAGTAAATTGAAAAATAACACTATAACATTGACATCAGCGTGAGGTGCTTAATAGGTACACATTTGTTAAGATTGGAGTGTCTAACAGGAAAAGAAGTCTGATAATGTGTAAAAATGGAAGATCTGGACAAGTTTAAGGGGGCACTATGACTTTAGTCAACAAGTTTATAGGTGGTTATGTTTCTCTCCCAGGCACATCTATTGAACAACTTATATGACTTTAGTCTTATGATTGACTGAAATTTTATTCCCAGTATAAGCAATCCAAGAATTCATACCACATCATTATTTAATCATCCTATTATATCAAGGCAAAAGAACATGGCAAAGAAAATGACAGAAGATGAAGATTTCGCTGGACAAGAATTTTGAGATTGCTGATATTTTAATTATTATGTTCTTTTGGAGGATGGAGAACTTGTCCAAACGGGAAAATGGGCTTAACTTACATTAGAAATAGAAATGGATACATAACTTATCAAAGAGACGTTCTGTTTTCAGTTAATTGAAATATTGTAAGGATGAAGTTCAAGTTATGGTGAAACATAAGGGAAAATTTTGGTCAGAACCTCTTTATTATGTCTTACTTCCTCCAAAAAAAAATGTTCAGACAATATCTAAGTTGCTCAGACTTGGGTGCAGGTGTCCGATATAGATGTGGATCTAGACGTTTTATCCTTCATGATCTAAATTTGAAGACTAATGAATACAGATTCGGCTAAAATAATACAAATATCTAAACGTAGAGTAATACTACTTTATGAGATATCATGTGGAAAGCTTGAAGAGAAAATAATGGTACGAGGAAAATCCTGAAAGGAGATGAAGGAAAAGGAGTGACACCCAAACTATATACAATGTATCCCATTTTTCATTCAATTTCACCTTAGCTTTTCTTTTATTACAGAAACCATTGCACCTAGCCGGACTGAGTTGTTCCGTCGATTTAGGTGAAAGTACCTAAAATCAGTTGATCAGATCGGGTACGAATCCCACATCCACACCCATGTCGTGTCAACACGGGTGTGGCACTGAATGTGAAGAGTCCAAGCAACTTAGGTCAATATATAACGTATAAGTTTATGTAAAAGAAAATTGCCACTATAAATTGCTTCAACATACTAGTAATAGCCCCTAATATCCAAAAACCTAATCATGACAACCAAGAATCTGTCCACATATAACCCAAGAAATATATTAAAAAGATGCTTCACAGCTTATGAAAGTAAGTGTGACAGATACATGGATATGTAGGAAGTTTCACAGTTTAATTCAAAAGGAAGTTACAAGAACTAAAAAGAAGAGGATAGAACGATTCTTACTTCTTCATATGATTTTGAAACAGGTCTCTCTCAATGATGTCCAACAAGGCCTGCATGGTTTGGGTTAAATTCCACGCCTATACAGAAACAGAATATATCACAAAGTAACTTGAGAAGCTCAAGGCATTACCTTATGTTGTGCAAATATCAGGACTCTGTGCTGTCCCACACAAATAGTGCCTTCAGAACCTGAATCAACACCAATTCCACACTCTGAAAGGATCTCCTGCAAGGCAACTAGTTTGGGA